GTGAGCGCGAATAGTCTATAGTCGCTGATCCTATTACAAACAAACAGTTGTAGAAGGATGGGCAACTGAAAACTATTCAGTCGCATGTTGAACGAGAAATCGATATTCACAATACCATGGAAAAGCGATAATCGAATAATAGCCGTTTATCTACTACTAGTCGACACTCGCAATAAGGGTGATAGAAAAATAAGCAAATAGGAAAAAAGTAGACCATGTAGGAAAAAATAGTGCAGAAGGAGAAGACCATGAAAGCACTTTTGCAAAGGCAATTTCGCACTTTTTTTTTTGCTCGGACGTAGGCGCCGTCTTCTTAAATTTTTCGTTACATCTTTGGCATTTACAGTCGGATATCAAAGTATGAAATATCGATGTTCTTGTCTCGAGGAGGCGATTTTTTCTGTTCTCAAGTTCATTGAGTACCTGTTCTATGACATACCCACCGATCTGTTTCTACCAAGGCATAGAAGGTAGAAGTGATTTCGACATTTCTCTCTTTTGAACTGCGACTAAAATGTCAACTCTTAACTCTATACTATTCAAAATTTTATTTTTTTATTTAAATTTTCAATTGTGTGACTGATTTTTAATTCACAATAAAATGAAAAGGAATTACGTGCGGTGCGTTGTGTCAAATCGAATTGTCAAGTGAAGCGACAACGAGGGACAAATTGCTGCGAAGATTCATTAGGAGACTCTTCACGTGAGCGCGTGGCTTTATTTGATGCCCATCGCAGCCGAGTATTTCTAAGCGGACGCGTTTGTTCCCAGGTGCAGGATGTATCATACCGAATATGAAAAGAAAATCCCCCACTCATATACATGGATAGACCAAATTTCAAATGGTGCTCTAATAAAACCTAAACCAAAATTCCTTGTCAACATAAAGAAACTGAAAATAATCCTTAATAAATTTAATGGAAAGAAAATTTCGAATTGCAAAAATTTAATAGCTAAATTATTGAAGTTAATTTCTGATTTAAATTTAGAAGAATCGAACTTTTTTTAATGTCTAATATACTTAAGAATTAAGTATATGAATAAAAGAATAAATGCTCAAACAGATTGGGATAGTAAAATGCAAGAAAATTATCCAAACGGTTTTATAAATAAGTGTGTTTCATTTTATAATTAAGTGTGTTTCATTTAGTGTGTAATTTTGTGAAAATGCAATGACTAAAATGAGGCTGATTCTAATATTTATAGATTTTAAATATATTTTTATATTTACAAAAACTTTCATTTCAAAGATATTCAGCCTCATTGCGCAAGACGTAAATTAGGCTAAATTGTACGACCCGACAACATTGGCATTGCCTACTGTCGTTCTGAAATAAGTAAACGACGAAAATCGTCGAAAACTTCGCAGTGCTGCCAAGTTTTTCCGTTTTAATACACTAGTCGAGTGGAAATTTTAGGCAATGACGTGAAATTTTCGATGCGATTCGACTAGCGAAAAACGACTTACATTCGATACGACTCTTGCAATGAGGGTGATTGAGTTTTATCAAATGTGGTAAATATATATCAAACGGTTAATTTCTTTGTTTACATTTTCTGTTTACATTTCTACATTGTTGAATATGCCTTGGTTTCTACCATGGAGGTGAAATAATAAAAGCTTATAATAAGACAGCATTCTCTGTTCATTTTCTTACATTCGGCTGCCTTATATTTCACAATCTTGCCTTTATTCGTTAAACGTTTTATGTGTTGCTTCTTTGGAAGTATTTACATATATTTTTGGGGCAATTTGGCCATTTACTATTGGCTTGCAGCATTGTTTTTTCTAAAATTTTTGGTTTGAATTTTTGTGGAAAATTTGTTTTTTTTTTCTAAAACTGTTTGAATTTTTTTGGAAAAATACTATATAATTTATTTGTGATTATAAAATTAATAATGCCTAAGCCAATTTGCGGTAAAACGTGGACTTACGAAGGCGTCCGTTTGTTCCATTCACTAGCGGAGCAGATTGGATTGAATAAGTTGGATATATCAAATATTTAATGGCGAAGTAATTTCTGGCACCACCAACTTTTCCGAAGAATTATTATCCCACAGCCATGAAATAGACCTTCCAATAAATATGAAAAAGCTATTTTTTAAGTGCAGGATGCGTTTCCGTATAAATTATTTAAATTAGCGCAATAAGATGACCATCGAAAAAGAAAATAAACCTAAGAATTTCGGCGTCTTGCGCTTATTTGCAAATAGTACCACTAATCGGTACTTATTTGCGTGATTTAGTTATCTGTACATTTGTACAGAAAAAATTTTCTTTCTTGTTTAATTTTAAGTATAAAGTAGTCAACAATTCTACAATTTGATAAAGCTACATCTAATTGACTGTTATATGAGTTATTAAAAAATACGAAAAAAAATTCCAGCTTACTTTTATATGGAAAAAATTTGATTTATTTCTTCTGTCACGGGTGGGACAAAAAATAACGTAAATTAAAACCAGCTGTTGGCATAAATTTTTCCAGTAGAAACCAGCAGCTTCCCCTCAAAATGAAATATCACTTTGTTCTCTCAACTTCCCCAACTTTGCAAGTTTTTTGCGCACGCGAATGCGAAAACCTGAAAGTTTTGGTTTAACATGAACAATTAACAGCTACACGAACGCAACTAATATTGACAATGGCTGCGTTTCTTTATACATTCCAGATAATCCTATTTCAGAACAGAATGCGTTCGAAATATACGTAAACATATTATCAAGGATGNAGAAATGCAGCCAAAGTATACTTTTCCAAAACGCGCCCGAATCAGCGCATCAGAAACAAAGTTGATGCTTCGTTTGTTATTGGTCACCATTGGTCGCAACTCTGCATATACAAACAGTTTGAATACCGCAGTATAGAAGTATCCAAAGGTGGTATTGATACATTTTGGAAGTCAGCTTTGTATCATGCCCGTGACCCCTAGGCTCGGCCAAAACGGTAAAACGGCGTCCCATAGGTTCGCCAAAATTTTTAATTTTTTTAAATTTCCTTGCAAAAATATTTTATATTCAGGGGTGTAATAAGCACATTATCAAGTGTAATATATGTAAATTTACCGTTATGTGTTCGTTGCCTCTCACATTTAAATTTTTTATGATTTGGCGATTAGTTTCAGTCATTAAAAAGGTTTTTTTGCGTTCGTGTCTTTGGCCAGTTTTCTCTGCTGTGAGAGCAATATGCACTTACGCTCAGGTACTAAACTACGGAAAAATAAAAATAAAATCAATAAAGTAAATTTTACAAGAAACTTTAACTATTACTGTTGGGTTTTTAAGTAGAAATTAAATTTTAAGTTAATTTTTGGATTTCCATGAAGAAAAAATCTCGACAAGCTAGAAAAATAAGTTAATAGTAAAAAAAATATTTTGAAAACAAGCTTCCTAAATATGAACGAAATCGGACCATAAATAGTAATTTACCAAATATCTCGACTGCTGCGCCACTTATCGGAGAAAAATTGTATGGAGTTATTCCTTTTCATCTAACCAAATCGGATTGAAAATTTCGGGTTTTTCAAATATCTCGACTCCTGCGCCACATAACGGATTAATTCATCTTTCATATTGCATTGTCAGCGGGTTCTGAGGCAACTATGAAATTTTAAGTCTCTAGGTCATCCGGAAGTTTGTTAAAATTTGATTGCAGGATTTGCGATATTTAGATCACTTTTGGCATTGGTCTTTTGTTTATTTAACGTTTATTATTTTTTATAAAAGACAAGCTGGGTATACAACAAACACCGAATAAATTCGGATTTTAATCTTTGTATAAAAATTATAAAAATTCTGCAAACTTTCACCAAAATTTAAAAGTTTTTAATCAGAATCTTCAGAAAAATGTTGGTATGCAGTTTTGTAGCTCACGTAAGTCTAATGAAGTGCAAGTTTCAAGCTGCTAAAAAATCCCGTTGATTTTTGGCAACTTTTTTTTTTGCTGGCAGTGTCCCCATGTAAAAGAAAATTGTCGAACATACTTTGTATGGAAAGAACGTGAAACACCTTCGACCAAAAAAATTCTCAAAAAACTTGCACTTCATTTACTAGAATTAAACGGGCCACAAAACAGCATGCCGAAACTTTTTTCTAAAGATTCTGAGTAAAAAGTTTGAAATTTTGGTGAAAGTTTGCAGAATTTTTGTACAAACTGTGAAATGTAAATTTTTATGGTTTTTGTTGTATTACAAGCTAGGTTTTAATAAAAAATAACAAATATTAAATAAACAAAAGACAAATAGCCAATACTGGTCAAAATATCCCACCCCTATTATTATGTGTACAACAGTACATACATACATTCATACAGAGCAAGTGAAATAAAAGCTTGTAATAATAAAAACAAATCTGTACTTTAACTTTACATATCTATATATGTAGATGTAAAAAAAAATAACATAACTGGTGATAGAGGTGAAAAACGCGAGTGAGAGCGTTTCGCTGCGATACCCATCAAAGGGAGACTCTTCAACATCTCGCTCCCCTCGCCGAAAGAGGATAAAGATAAAATACCATCATCATTTTTCTTTCCATAGATAAATAATATTTTGCAGTCGAATTTGTTTTTTAATGCCCGCCATACATTATTTATAATACTTAAATACTTTATATAAATTACAAGATACGTACATACATATATACACTAAATAATATATTAGTATCAACACTTAATATTACAATACACTATATGTATGTATATGAACTAACAGTGGTAAATCGCCGTTATTCACTTGTCACAGATTGTTCGCGCTCATCAAAGACACTTTTAGCATAGTTGATCTGAAAACAGAAAAAAGTTTTCATTTTCGTTCACGTCACCAACAAAGAACATATAATGCATAAAAGTGAAGTTAAACTTGTACACAAATTACTCAGTAAACTAAGTCCGAGCATAACTGCACTTTTTCATGCATTAGACTTATTGAACCGTTGAAATTTAGCAATCCATCCTCATACTTACACAACGTGCCGCACGTTCCGCTACATCCTCAGTTTGACATTTGACCCGCGGTCGTGTGATCTTCGGCAGATTAGTGGAAATTTCAATATAATAACTAGGTGTATTTTTGCTACCTCCCGGTACTGCAGAGTTAGCCACATTTGTGGTCAGCGGATGGCAAGAAAGCACTTCACTTAAATGACATTCAAACATTATAGCCGGATCCTCTTCACAACGTGAAAATATGCGTATGAATTCGGTGGTTACGAGCAGACGCAATTTGGCATCTTTATCATTGCACAAACTCGGTTCATAAGACATGAGTTTCTCGGTGAAATTTCTACGATTTATTATATATAAATATTGTTGACCCTTCGCCTGTCGATATGAGTAGGAGGGCAGTAGTCCACCGGGCGCACCAGTCACACAACGCGGCAAACGTTTGCGATCTGGCAACATGCGACCCGATGTTTTGCTCGTCTCACGCACTGCACTCGCCGTTTCCGATGCCAAATCCAGCACACCAATTATGGGTTTAGTCACCGTGCCTACCAATCCCTTGCCTAGGCCGCTTAGTAAGCCAGGGAAGCCGTCAGATTGTACGCCCGTATAGGTGTGTCGCACTATGCTCGTGACTCCACCGAGCAGACCAAAGCCGAAACCCTTAAGACCCGCTGCCAAATGATTCCCAGAGGTATTCGATTGTATCTCGAGTATGCGTTGACGTGTTTCATTGTCATGTTCGTCGAGCATTACACGTCCCAAGCTATCCGATAGCGTTTCGGTTAGTTTGGCAGTGGAATTAGAAATGCCATGTGTGACATTTTTAACAAGACTCTTAACGGAACCCTCAAATATTAGACCGGAGACACCTTCGGAGAGATCATTGGCAAAGCCAAGCGGATTGCCAAGAAAGTCGACACTGCCCAGTATAGAGGCGGCATGCCTTTTGATTTGGTTAACATAATGGCTTTTGATTGCTTTTAGATATACCTCTAAAGGCTCAAAGTGATGCTTATCGCAGAACTTATCGAATTCTATAAGTGCGTCTTCGAATTTTACTAAAGTTAAGCCAAGCGCCTTCTTAGTTTCGAATAGTTCTGGTGTTAATTTCGGAGCCGTAAAGACGGAGACGCGCACCTGTTGTTTAAATAAAGAAAAGGGATTTTTTTAGTCGGCTAGAAACCAGTGACCGAAAAACCCCGTTGAAAATCAAGGTTTTTATTTTTATATTATTGCAAAGTCGTTATTGATTTTTTATTTTTCGATTAAGAACGATATACCGATTTATTTGGATTTTTATTTTTTCGAACAAAATAATCATTATTTTGCATTTCAACTTTTTTTCATTTTTAAGCGTTAAAATGAAAGCTGCTTTTTATGGCCGATTTACAGGGTCTGAGATCGATCGCAGTTTCCACCTAGCAAAAAAACAAAAGAAAACACGTTTTTTCTAATAGCGGCCGGCCCTCGGCAGGCAATGTCAAACCTCCGAGTGGATTTCTGCCATGAAAAACAGCTTCCCATAAAAATATAATCAAGGTTCGGATTCGGCGTAAAACCAAGGCGAATTAATATAAAGTGGTATCGATTCAACATATACAAAATTTTGTTTCTGCGGCAGAAAATAAAAACACTCTCACGTTTTCACAACACCACCTTATATGAATTCGCATTGCGTAAAACTGTAATCATGATCAAAAATGAACATAAATCAAAAATAACGATCAAAATACGACCGGAAAAATAACATAAAAACAAAAATCATAAAAAAATAAAAATTTGATGAAAAAATATAAATCCAATTTTAACGGTTAAATTATGAGTTTTATTATAAAGATCATAGCCGTTATGATCCCCGCTGGAAACCTTAGCTTTGAGCGTTCAAAATAAATTCTTTGATTGATTTGAAACATTTTTGGTAACCGATAAGTAGCCCACCAAACGATTTCATTGATAAACTCAATAACGATAAAAGTAAGGATATCGTTAGATAACATAATCGATATTGATAAAGATGATGGTATTTCAATAACCGTTACAATAATAGTATTGATATCTATAAAAACACATCGATAAAATATTGAAAAACCATAAAATAACGAGAACAATCGATATTGACATAGATAATAGATAACAGTAACAATAATGACATCAATAGCTAAATGCATACTTATACGTACATATGTATAAAAGCCAAGCAATAAAAATACCGACAAAATAAAAATGTCAGGGACCGACAGTATCAAGATTTTATTTTTAGATTATTGCAAAATCGATATTTTCTATATATATTTATTTTTTCGATCAAGAATAATATTTGAATTTAATTTTAATTTTTCCGGGCAAATTTAATTGGTATTTAATTTTTTTCGATCATCTGTAGCCGTTATAATGCGTTTTTCTGACCGACAATTTTTTTTTTTTTTTTGAATTGGATCAGAAAAATAAAACTCCAATTTTACCAGTCAAATTTTAATTTTTACTACACAGTTCGCAACCATTACGGTCCCTGAAAATTATGCAATATCTGCTTTTTTTTAAGTCTGCCTATGACTTATTTCACAACAAAGCCTCGTACTCCCCACATACATATACATATATATGTATGTACATACATACATACATAACTTCTGTATAACTAATCTCTTCCCACTTACCTGACCAGATCCAATGTTTAGTGACTCAAAGTAAAACCTTCGTGGATTCATGGAAAGTGACAGCTCTTCGATATTTTGCAATCCGTGATCGTACTCCTTCGTATTCGTTTTGTATTTATCTACCTTGCCCAAGCCGAAGAAGTAGGCGGTCTTTAGAATCAAACGTTCTTCGAGTATCAACACAAATGGGCTGATATCGAATGTTAGATACTCAAATATAATCGCATTTTTATTGGGGCTTGGCAAGAGTTTCGTTTTCAAAATTAATGCGCTACTGGGCTGATCATCGCCTGTTGTGCGTACTGTATGCAACAGCACCGGGCAAGAAGTATCCAATAATTGATTATCAATTTGCAGATCGGCCACTTTGAATTCGAACGATTTGATAAAGCGTGTTGAATGCACATCTATTATAATGGTCTCCAAGGTAATAAAGGCGAGTTCTTCGCAAGGTTGACGTGTTACGACCGAAATGCCTATGCCTTTCTGTAAATCGACTTTTAACTAAATGGTAGGAACAAAGCACAAGGATCGAAACAATAAGTCGAAGAAATAAATTGCAAATTAGAATTACATATGAGCGCATGAATTTCAGGCCAGAAACTTACCGAAAATTCATCGAAAACACTGCCCTTGTGTTCATCCACAGTCATACGACTGCTGATCGATGCATGATTCCAATTGGGATCTGGTGTTAGCACTATATCTTCTGGTTTTAGTTTAACATCATGAATTTGTATAGTGCGTATGGGACCATCCATTTTGCTTAAAACCTCCAAGTGGCCAGAACCAGGACGTAATTTCTGAATTTCAATGCTTTGCTCAAATGGGACATTATCACAGCTAGCGGCACGCGAGCTCGATTGTATGCGGCCAAGGACGACCTCGGAGCCGGGACGTAAACCGAATACGCCATTGCGGACCTGTGTAAGCATACAGATATGTTTTGTTTTTTTAATATACTTTTTGTTATATGTTTTTTTGTATACTTTTTTTTTTTGAGAAAGCGGAGGACTATCACATTGGTTTTTTGTTTCTTAGTTGTCAACCATTTTCTAAAAATATTCGGAACAATGTATTGCTGAATCCATCGTAGTCCGATTTTCGTGGGAACCAAGAAAAACTTATAACTGAGTTCGGTGTTGCCGAAAAGAGAGCAATGAGGCCTTACTCTACGCAAATAGTATTCAGGCGCCGTCAGAAAGCATTTCATGGATGTCCGAAGTGAGCTATTTGGATAGGTCTGTAATGTCGTATATTGCACCATTGCCAGTAACATTATTAGGCCCTCGTTCCAATCACTACCGGCGAGCGTTTTTGGGGACTAGTTTGACCCCAACGCACTTTATTGACAGTTTCTGTTGTTTGCACGGAAACGAAGAGCAAGCTGGCAAAGGCACCCCCCAAAGTATTCGTATACCGCAAAAGCAAACATTTTCTATATCAACATGCACATTCCAGGGACCATAGAATTTGGAGGCTTTTCCGCAAGCGACCGGGAATTCAGTCGATATTTTGCTTTATATACTGAAAGATCTAGAATGACCTGTCGTCTAAAAAAGCTTGTGCATTTCAAGACTAATCGGAGTTTACCTACACCAGAGGTTGAGTTGTCGAATCTTTAAGGTGAGTTTCCTGAAATTGGTGTGCGGTATGAAACGTGCCATAAAACGTGTAGTCTACCACCTGTGACCTATTGTAAGAAGAGTCCTTTAGAGGGCTCAATCCATTGCATGCAATGCACCTAATAGAGGATGTAGAATGGCTTAAATAGCTGATGTATTTCTTTGGGTCAGACGAGGAACCGTCACAGTATGCAAATTCCACCCTATCACCGCATTTTTCGAACTGGACAAGGACCTCACTAACACTAAAGGTGAAGTGGAAGATCTTCAGGCTTCCTTTCCGTTTCTATCACCTGTGCTAGTTTACCAGGTTCCGAAATTCCTTGAAATCATCCGGTTTACCGTGAAAAGCAGCGACCAGCTCAGTACGGTTTGGGAGGCGCCATATGCCAATTGTGGGCCGAAGACAGGGCTATACACCGGGAGTTTGAATGTAGCCACCACTGGCAGACGAACAAGAAGCGTTCGAAAGAAAGCCACTGCAAGTTATTACTCTAGGCATCCACCACGATTGGTAGGATACACCGACGTTAAATGTTCGGAAAAGCAGCCTTTGGTTAAATAAAACACAAGTTATTCTCATTACTCAAAAGAGGCTGACATGAGAATGCATCTAACCTGGACAGAGTGCTAGGATCGCTCAAAATTCGCTCTTGCTCTTATCGCGCGAGTTATCACTCGAACAAACAAAAGCAATGCAAAATATTTTTAGAGTAAATCAACACTTGTATACTCATTCGTTCGCATACAAAGAGTGCTTATCGTTGTGAGAACATCTGCACAGTTTTCACCCCCGCGGTTTGCAAATGATGCGCCCTTTATTTGAGCTGAAAAGTGTTATCAGTGATAAGTATTTTTTCGTTATTTGAATTTTTCAATGATAAATATATCGATGTGAAATCTGAACACTTAGTCAAATTAAACTCATACGCTACCTAAATTTTATTATTTATTTAATAAAAACAACACATTTGCAGAAATATAATCACGGTTTTTCATGGTGAATTTTTTATAAATATAGAGCTCATTCTGCAACAAAAACATGTATGTAAATTGAAATATCAAACTTAGAATGAACTTCAAATGAATTTAAAAATAACGCATTTGTGGAAATACAGCAACCGTTTTTCATGGTCATTTAGCTCGTAAATTTTTTATAAATACAGAGCTCATTCTAAAAAAACAAACTGTAAGGGAGCATATGGTCTTTCATTTGCATATTTCGGTGCAAAATGTTTACTGTAAGGGAAGTGGGATATTTCTATTCACCATATACCATATATGTACACGTGTTTCTTAAAAAAAAAAACCTTGCAGAGAACTTATTTAATTTGGAAAAGTTGAAAAATAAATATTTGCTTATTAAACAAAAGAAAAATTTTTATTGCTCAATTTATTTCAAACGTTTTTTCTTTTTTTTTTGCAAAATTATAAAAATTTAGTTGAGCGAAAACCAAAAGCAAAGCCACCTATAAGTAAAAGAATCAATATTGAAATGCGTCAAGATGAAAGTAAGGGAGCTCGAATTTCGATGTGAATCAAAACTCTCTGGGAAGACAATACCTTTAATAATTGTACCATGGATGTAGCGTCTGATGCTTTTGAAGGGCGCATGTTGTGAGAGTAACGAAAGAGAAATACAAATAAACGATTTGTTTCCTCATTCGGAGATTAACGAATGCTCGCTCGTTTGTTTTTCAGCAGCAATGAAATAAACAAAAGGAAGCGCTGCTTTGAGTTGAGTTGTATTGAGGCGAGTGAGGGATATTTCACTCCTCAATGATAAGTATTGACGAACTCTGAACCTGGGTCAAAACAGTTTTGAAACACATTTTGTGATATCCACATTTTTAAGTTCATTGCAAATATTCAAAACTTCAGCCTAGTTTTGTATAAAAAAAAATACTTTTTATAAAAATTTAAAAACACTTTTCAAATGTTTCGCCACTCTGACTGAATTTTTATAAAAATATACATATTTTAAAATATCTCTTGTTTGGTTTGATCTTATACCCAATTCTTTATACATGTAAGTACTTGTATGCATAAATGTACTACACTACTCCAAACTTCTCTTTACACTTACCTGCACACACATATTCGTATGACACATCAATCGTCCGTTCTCGAAACGCCACCGCTGTGTGGTCACGCGTTGCTTATTTGGCGGTCTTATGACCAAATTTGTATAATCATTCGGATTTAGTGCCTTTTCCACATCCAACACCATACGAAAGCTATTCGATTCACTGTATTTACCAAATTCCGTAGGAGGCGATGAGCCTTCGTGTTCTAACTGACCGCACGTGTTCATTAGCCAAAGTTGCGAACGATCACCTGTACACTTATGCGCCACAACAACCTTTTTATCGCGTACAGCCAATACAAGTTGCTGTCCCTCGATACCCAATTGAGCCATTTCACTCTCCGTATAGGCGAATGTTTCCTTGAATGCAATATAAATGAAATTAGCATATGTGATGCTGCTGGAACTTTCCATTTTGTTGAGCGCAAACTCAATCGTATTACCACCGGGTGCCTCTATCTGTAGCATATGCGCACCCAGGGGGTCATCTAAGGCGTATGCCAGCGATGATTGCGGGCGCACTGTTGAGCGCCAGTGAGGCTTACAAGCATACTGATAGAAATGTATCATTATTTCCGAGTAATTATCAATGCGTATGGGTGGTGGTAGAGTGTACGCATCGCTGAATAGAAAGAAGTATGTGGCGCCTTTGGAGATCACTTCCAGACGCAAAAAGATCATTTCACCCAAATCATTGCGTACGTTTATGTATATGGAATGTACTTCGTTGATGGGTATGCCGTGTGACCAATGACAACAACTGACATCGCTTATGCGCACACACAACAGCGGCTCCTGCTCGTAATTCGGCCAGTGAAAGGGGAAATTACAGCCCGGTAATGCTGATATTATGTGCTCAGCGTTGGCATTGTCCTGAAGGGTGGAAATTTTTTAGTCAAAGGGTTAGAAAGAGTTGCTTTTATGTAATTGTAGGAGTTATAGGTAGATGTATGCAAGTACCGGTTTTTTAATATCACACTTTTGTGAAAACTCCAACTTTCTCGTGGATTTATTGTAAAGCTGATAGCGAGGCGATAGAATTATAAAAGTCGTCCAAGAATATAAACCACGACCTCTGCGTATATTTACGCCAATGGCATAGCAGCCTTTATATCTTTCAGCACGCAACTGTCGCTGGAAAGTTTCTTTGTGTATGTTAAAGCTTTTGCACCACTACAAAAAAATAAAAATTAGGAAATTATTTATAAAAAAAGATAGTTTTTTTTTATGGAAAGAAGGGTTTAGCAGACAAGAACCGATTTTAATGCATTTTAATACACCGAATTATTTAAAAATTTTAATTTTGTGGGAAAACGCAATCAAAGATTGTATGAATTCAGTTGGTATACCAATATACAGATGGAAAGACACATATCGTCGCCATTTTTTGCAAGTTTAGTCATCTGTTAGTCTGAACGTATGCATTCTGCATATCAACCTTATTAATTGTATGACGAAATCTCCGAATTTTCAATTGCATCGCTATCTTAAAGCTTAAGCAGACGGCGGGGTTGAACCGGATTAACTTGGACTTGACGTCCTTTACGACGATTACTTTAGACCGCAGTAAAACGGACCTCCATCTGGCACTACAAAGGACCAACGGGTCTATGTAAGGCGCATCAGCCGGCCAGTGTAACCTAACCTAACCTAATTCGGATCAACAGCAGTTAATTCCCGAGATGATCGGGATCAACGCTGCCGTCTGTTTATGCTTTTACACTGAAGGGAAAATCTCGTCTTGAAATGACAACAAAGAAACACGGTGAAAAACGAAAACTTAAGATTGTGTCATAGATTACGGATCTGTATACCGTTTTTCTAGACAAAACTGAGTTTTTAACAGAGGAAAAATTTAAAAAATAACAGATATTTTGTAAATTTACTTCATTTGTATTAAATCACGATTACTTTAAAAAAAAAAAAAATCTAGCTACTAACGATGAAAATCGATGGATATTTAAATAAACTAGTTGTGTATCTTCAAATGAAAATAGGCAATAATAATACCTTTCATGAACATGAAATGGTATTATAACTACCAAAGGTCCGATATGTGTAAGTACCAGAATAAGAAGACATAGACCCATTAAAATGTATACTGAAATGAACAGAACGTCGAGCTGAGTCGATTTGGCCATGTCCTTCTGTTTGTATGCAATCAAATATCTCAGTTTTCGAGATATCCGGATGAAATTTGGTAGATGGGTGCATTTTTATAATGTATTAATCATTTGTCGGAACTGGAAGAATCGGACCACTATAACATATATGTAGCTCTCATACAACTGTTTGTTCAGATATAAGATTTTTCGTTATAACTCCTCTATTTATACAACTAGGAACATGAAATTTAACAATACTTCCACCTATTATCAACAGAATACTCGCTGTGAAAATTACAAAGATCGGATCACTACAACCTATAGCTCCTCTACCACTGATTGTTCAGATANTGTAGCTCTCATACAACTGTTTGTTCAGATATAAGATTTTTCGTTATAACTCCTCTATTTATACAACTAGGAACATGAAATTTAACAATACTTCCACCTATTATCAACAGATCGGATCACTACAACCTATAGCTCCTCTACCACTGATTGTTCAGATATGAGATTTTTTGTTATAACTTCTCCATTTATGAAGCTAAGAACATGAAATTTCGCACTGTTGTCACTCATTATTAACAGAATAATTACGATGAAAATAACAAAGAGCGAGTCACTATAACATATATCTTCCATACAACTGATTGTTCAGTTATGAGAATTTTCGTTACAATTCCTCCGTTTATACAGCTACTGTTTTCACTCATTATTAAAAAAATACCTACTGTGAAATTTACAAAGATTGGTTCACAATTACATAGCGCTCCCATACAACTGATTGTTCAGATATAGGGGGTTTACTGTAAAACTCATTTACTTGGGCAGCTAAAACCGATACATTTCGGAAGCTATTTTACAAAGTCTACTGAGAAAATCGTCAAAATCTATGCTGTATAAGCTTTATCTCCTATATCACTGATGATCGATTACCAGTTTTTGCGATATATCTCCTTTATGTAGGAAGCTAAACCCATTATATTGTGTTACCGGTTTACATACCGATCACACAGCAGTGAAAATCACTTAGATTGGTGCTATATAAGGTATATCCCCCATACCTCTGGTTGTTTAGATATGATTTTTTATATCTATCTATGTTTGTATGCTGTGAATATATACATTTTTTGAAATGCAGTAACTGTTAAAGTAAAATTTTTAGATGCTCATGAAACGCTGATTTTACTTGTTTTTTTATATGAAATAGGGGCAGGAAATAATGTAACTCATACGCCACGTCGTCCATGATAAAGTTTAAATTTTTTTCATTCGCAATGCAAACTTAAAATGAAAATATCTTGAGGAAATCACCTATCTAGAAAATTGGTGCACAGATCAGCAATCGACGACCCAAAATTAAGTTTACGTGTATCAACGTTTTTTTTTTTGTTTTTTTTGGCATATTAGCGTTACTACAGTGTTATTAAACGTGCGATATGTAGATTATTAATAACTAGTGCTCGGAATTTCATGCAATAAAAAATCGATAGTATGCGCATTTAATATGCGCTTCAAATTCAAAAATATGACCTATAAACAAGTAAAATATGCCATTAAAAATATTTTCTAATATTTTATTGCTGGTAGAAAAATAAATAGCACATATTTTATCAAGAGAACAACGAAAACAATTCACTTTAAAATACAATACATATATATGTATAAAATTAGTTTATAATCAAGCAGACTGTCTGCTGTAAACAGAAACATTCACAGTTTAATAGTAGTTCAGATGAATGTTTGGTTGCTTTAAGTGGGTTGTCCCACTGGTGACAAACAGTCAGCAAGTTTGCCATTTTGGTTCCACAACTTGTATAACCTACAGTCATTTGACGGCTTTAATGAATTTCAGTACATCATGCAGAGAGAGGCGAACTGGACTCTAAAGAGCGAAATACACCACACAAGCGGCTTGTCAAACATTCTTCAAACCTACTTTTCCCATTTCGCCATACACCATGCAAACATGACTCGTTCAAGCAAAGAATTTTAGTTTTCTTTCAGTTCGCAATGCTAAATATTATGGTTTTCTTTCATTTTCCTCTCTTACGTCCTTACTCGGTGAAAATTTCGTTGCGAATGAGGCGATTTTGCTATACACAACGCAAGCGGTTTGATCAAACATCAACATGGCGGCCAGAAAATCAAAAAATTTTGATTTTTGCTCAAATTTCCCTCAAGCGGTTTGTCAAACCTTCAAACACCCCCATACACAGCACAAATGGCTTGAAGCAAAGGGAAATTTCGCTTGGTTTGTCAAACCGCTTGTGTGGTGTATTTCGCTCTTAAAACATTCGGCAGTAATGGCTTGCCGAGTGTCTTAAGAGTCATCCTTGCGAGGTTTGGACACTCGCTCAGGAAATCTTCGACTGTTTCTTTTGAGCCAGGGTCCTCGCAACTGGGACTGAAACTGTTGAAGGGCAATTCAATCCTTTCGGCATGTACCCCAACGGGCCAGCACATTGTGCACACTGCAATAAGTTTGTAGGTATCTTCTTTGCTCCTTCCTAGGGCAGGTTTGGTTTTAAGTGAGTCGTAGAACGCCCATAACTGTCGGGAAATTCTCTACGATCCTGTACGGTCCCGCCTCTGCTTGGCCTTCAAGTGACACATTTCGGTAACTTTTGCGTGGGACACATTCAGTGCCGCACTTTACTAGTTCGTCCGCTGCCGCGTTTCCATAAATGTCTCTTTGCCTCGGCACCCATATTAGGGTAAATTCGTATTGATCAGAGATATAGACCAACTCTCTCCTACAGTCCTCCACAGAGGTACAAGAGAGTGCCTTAATGACCGTTTGGCTATCCGAGAAGATATTCGGATGAATAATAGGGAAAGATTATAGATAATTTTTTTGCCAAAAGAATTCGCACTAATATAATATGCAAAAGTATACACTAACGATTGAATGCCATTTTAAAGGAAATTTCACGATTCGTAAAGATAACTTAACCATTTCCATGTGAAAATGCCCAATAAAAAGATGTATTTGCATGAGATTCCGAGGCATATTAATAACTTTATTACGGCCATAATGTATTCCCAGCCAGCAAAAAATGCGTAAATTAATCCGGAAAAGGAAAAAAAGTGGATGATATGCAGATGTTTGTCCATTTACCGGTTCTATTTTCGGATATCTTGACGATTCGTTTTTGCACTAAACTGTGCGGCAGAAACGTATGTACCTACAGGCAAGCACTGAAAATTGTTGTTGTTTTTGGCTGTTTTTCGAAAATTTGTCTGATTGAGTTTTTCGTTGAATACGCTTTACATTTGCACTGCAGTTTCTTAAAAAAAAAAAAATAACGAAGCACCTGACGGAATTCGATCCCGGCACTTTCTGGAAGCTAACAAATAGTGGCATGCTCCTCTGCACGTTCGGCCACTGCCGACAACGTATACATGCTTACAAATGTTCAACTTGAACAAACAAAATACAATTATTGCTTTTAGATAACAGGTTTCACTGTCGTCAAAACTTGTGTGTGTTTTTTTTTTGCTGTCTGAGTTACTAGATCATTGCGATCGATGATGTGGTATTGTTTCACATTTATCGATATTGTTATTCATATCGTAATTTTTATCGATATATTTACTGTTACCGTTATCCCAATCGATATATCGGAGCCCTAACCGCCAAAAAGATGTAAGCGGCATTTGTTTTCAAAATTTTCTTTTTGATGCAGAAATGTTCCTAGAGCATCTAGATGCATTTCTGCAACAAAAATAAAGTTTTAAAAACAAAGTCGCTTATATACTTGTTTTTGTCGGTTAGAGCTCGAGCTAGATTTTTTTTTATCCATATGGGTGTTTAGTTCAGAATAAATTTATAATTTTATGTACTCGATATCGTGGTGACTTTTATATTATTTTCGAATTTTTAATCGTTACCTTCATTATCTCCGACAGTTTGAGGTATTGAACAACAGTAAACTCATCAATTTGTTTTATTGTTACATTTATCGATATACATATTTTATAATTCAATATCGATATGAATATTGGTATTATTATTATGAGATTTTTGTTTATATTGGCAGTGTTACCGCTATTATTCTCATCTTCGTTACTGAACTTTCTATAGATTTCACAACTCATGTCATAATTTTTATACATACCCTATAAACAATTTGGCGAACGTTCGAAAATGACATTGGATATCCAATATGCATATCGAACTGAGAACGAACTCATAACCCCAACCTTAGTTTTCCAATGCTCATGGTATGTGGGAAATACACTCGAGATAGGTTCGAAATAAATTAAAACCATAGTAACAAGAGAGGAAGTGAAATCCAGCTGGAAAAACACATTGGATAACGAATGTTCCGTTTTGCTGGAGAATGGCCTATTTCTCGAATCGAATATTAATCTATTCCAAATTAGTTAACGAAGGTGAGACTCGAAAAATAGATTGGTTTTCCAATCATTTTCGAATTGTTAACCAAGCCCAATATTTATTGGGTATGAATCAAGGCACATTAAACAGGTAGTATCAGTAGAGCAAAAACAACATTTGCGTGTATTTTGTTGTTGCTTCTGGTATCGAAAGTGTCAACAACTGTTCTGAATTTTTTCTTCTAAATCAAAGCGTGCCATGTGAAATACAAAAAAAATAAAAAAATTAAATTGGAAAAAATAAAAATTGTTGCAACTTTCTTTCCTAGTAAATTTGTTTGCTTCTCGAAGCATTGATCCATCCTTTACAAGGGCCAGTAATCAGCGGTTGTGCTGCTGAGTTTGGCGAACGTTCCAAAAGCTGCTATTCAATCGCTTGTTTTGTATGGAAAAAGGTTTCACATGCAAATGGATTTTAACAATTCAGAATTATTGTGAGAAAAAATTAAAAATATTTGACATTTTCGAGACCAAATAATTTGAAAATAAATCAAATCAGCTGCTCTACTGATACTACCTGTTCAATGTACCTTGGTATGAATGTATATTTTTATTGCTGGCATCCATAGTGTTGTAACAGCGTTAACGATAGTTATCGGTTTAGCTATTGATATTTTTTTTAAATGACACTGTGTTCGCTATTACTTTTTCAACGTTATTATGTTCTTTCTCTTTATTTATTAACATCTTATTTATTTATTTTTTTCATATCGATAGCGTTAGGCATATTGTTAATGCTTTCACTATATATATATTGTTATCGATTAAATACCGTTATTATAATTATTACTCTTTAGAAACACTATTGTAATCTTTATTATTTTGCCATCATTAAAATAATCGATTTACATACATATGTATGTATTAATATCTTTATCGTTGTTATATGTAATGCTATATTTTCAAATACTGGGATGTTAATCGATATCATTTTTATCACATTGGTTTTAACTATCTTTATTGATATCGATTTTGTTATCGACATATGCATATGTTATTATTTCGAAATCTTCGACTGTTTCTTTTGAGCCAGGGTCATCGCAACTGGGACTGAACCTGTTGAAGGGCAATTCAATCCTTTCGGTGTGTACCCCAACGGGCCAGCACATTGTGCACACTGCAATAAGTTTGTAGGTATCTTCTTTGCTCCTTCCTAGGGCAAGTTTGGTTTTAAGTGAGTCGTAGAACGCCCATAACTGCCGGGAAATTCTCTACGATCCTGTACGGTTCCGCCTCTGCTTGGCCTTCAAGGGATACTTTTGCGTGGGACACATTCAGTTCCGCACTTTGCTAGTTCGTCCGCTGCCTCGTTTCCATAAATGTCTATTTGCCTCGGGACCCATATTAGGGTAAATTCGTATTGATCAGAGATATAGACCAACTCTCTCCTACAGTCCTCCACAGAGGTACAAGAGAGTGCCTTAATGACCGTTTGGCTATCCGAGAAGATATTCGGATGAATAATAGGGAAAGATTATAGGTAATTTTTTTGCCAAAAGATTTCGCACTAAATTTTAATGGGTGTAAATCAAAAAAAGAAAAAATATGCGAAAAACATATGCATTTATTGTAAAATATATTAAAATATGCGCAATAAATATGCAAAAACATATATTTTCGCAAAATATGAAAAATCATGAATTTACTGCGAAATATGCAAAAGTATACACTAACGACTGAATGCCATTTTAAAGGAAATTTCACGATTCGTAAAGATAACTTAACCATTTCCATGTGAAAATGCCGAATAAAAACATTGTATTTGCATGAGAGATTCCGAGCCATATTAATAACTTTATTACGGCCATAATGTATTTCCAGCCAGCAAAAAATCCGTAAATTATTCCGAAAAAGGAAAAAAAGTGGATGAAATGCGGATTTTTGTCCATTTACCGATTCCATTTTCGGATATCTTGACGATCCGTTTTTCCACTAAACTGTGCGGCAGAAACGTATGTACCTACAGGCAAGCACTGATAATTGTTGTTGTTTTTGGCTGTTTTTCGAAAATTTGTCTGATTGAGTTTTTCGTTGAATACGCTTTACATTGGCACTGCAGTTTCTTAAAAAAAACAAAAATAACGAAGCACCTGACGGAATTCGATCCCGGCACTTTCTGGAAGCTAACAAATAGTGGCATGCTCCTCTGCACGTTCGGCCACTGCCGACAACGTATACATGCTTACAAATGTTCAACTTGAACAAACAAAATACAATTATTGCTTTTAGATAACAGGTTTCACTGTCGTCAAAACTTGTGTGTGTTTTTTTTTTTGCTGTCTGAGTTACTAGATCATTGCGATCGATGATGTGGTATTGTTTCACATTTATCGATATTGTTATTCATATCGTAATTTTTATCGATATATTTACTGTTACCGTTATCCCAATCGATATATCGGAGCCCTAACCGCCAAAAAGATGTAAGCGGCATTTGTTTTCAAAATTTTCTTTTTGATGCAGAAATGTTCCTAGAGCATCTAGATGCATTTCTGCAACAAAAATAAAGTTTTAAAAACAAAGTCGCTTGTATACATATTTTTATCGGTTAGAGCTCCAGCTCGATTTTTTTTTATCCATGTGGGTGTTTAGTTCAGAATAAATTTATAATTTTATGTACTCGATATCGTGGTGACTTTTATATTATTTTCGAATTTTTAATCGTTAGCTTCATTATCTCCGACAGTTTGAGGTATTGAACAACAGTAAACTTATCAATTTGTTTTATTGCTACCTTTATCGATATACATATTTTATAATTCAATATCGATATGAATATTGGTATTATTATTATGAGATTTTTGTTGATATTGGCACTGTTACCGCTATTATTCTCATCTTCGTTACTGAACTTTTTATAGATTTCACAACTCATGTCATAATTTTTATACATACCCTATAAACAATTTGGCGAACGTTCGAAAATGACATTGGATATCCAATATGCATATCGAACTGAGAACGAACTCATAATTCAAACCTTAGTTTTCCAATGCTCATGGTATGTGGGAAATACACTCGAGATAGGTTCGAAAAAAAATTAAAACCATAGTAACAAGAGAGGAAGTGAAATCCAGCTCATTCTCGAAAGGAAATATAAGACAATCACTCTCCTTCATTAAAATTTCAATTTCGATAATGGGCTGGATTTCGAATTCATAAAGATGGAAAAACACATTGGATAACGAAGGTTCCGTTTTGTTGGAGAATGGCCAATTTCTCGAATCGAATATTAATTAATCTATTCCAAATTAGATAACGAAGGTGAGACTCGAAAAATAGATTGGTTTTCCGATCATTTTCGAATTGTTAACCAAGCCCGATATTTATTGGGTATGAATGTATATTTTTATTGCTGGCATCCATAGTGTTGTAACAGCGTTAACGATAGTTAGCGGTTTAGCTATTGATATTTTTTTTAAATGACACTGTGTCCGTTATCACTTTTTCATCGTTATTATGTTCTTTCTCTTCATTTATTAACATCTTATTTTTTTTTTCATATCGATAGCGTTAGGCATATTGTTAATGCTTTCACTATATATGTATTGTTATCGATTAAATACCGTTATTATAATTATAACTCTTTAGAAACACTATTGTAATCTTTATTATTTTGCCATCATTAAAATAATCGATTTACATACATATGTCTGTATTAATATCTATCGTTGTTATATGTAATGCTATATTTTCAAATACTGGCATGTTAATCGATATCATTTTTATCACATTGGTTTTAACTATCTTTATTGATATCGATTTTGTTATCGACATATGCATATGTTATTATTTCGATATCGATAATTATATATATAAATATCTTTATCGAAGTCCTTATTATTATTGATAACATTACTAATGGCTTTCTCTTACCGAATTTTTATTACAAAAAATATTATAAATAGGTATCATTTTTGAAATCGCTATTATATATAAATATAAATTATTATTATTTTTTCTTACCGGATTATTATTCCCAAAACTACTGCCTAGTCGTATCTCCAGCGACGGCGAGCCTTCCTGATCGGAGAAGGAGAAAAGCAACGGTGATACAATACGCGCCTGTTCGTGCTCGTCAAACTGCCCGGAACCCAAGCGATTTGTGCCCTCTTGTCTATACACCAATGGCAGTCCGGTACGGTTGATAATCCAAATGGGCGCACTAATAAATATCTCCATGCCTTTGCCTTGAAATGATTGTATTGAGACGCGCAAGTAGAGCTCGCGATTTAAAATATCGATCAATTTCAATTTCGGCTCCACAATACCAGTATGACCCATTGGTATTTTCAGCTGCCCTGACAACTTGTAGTTATCCAACGTGATGCTTAGTACAAAGGAATCGCAGGCATTTATGGTGTGTATATTCACAACCTCTGAAGGATTAATTCTCCCCTGTATATGACCGGAAATTTTGAAAAGCAAATCACAGGAAAGCATATTTTTCAGCTTCAAAGGTGGCAAGAGTGTAATTATGTGGCCCGGCGTATTAACATCCCTGTTCGGATACTTGACTTTCCGTATTTCGACGAGCGTATAAAAGACAGCATTACTCTTGCCATAGCATGAGAAGAGTTCATCTACCGAATCTTTTGTGCAGGTGGTCCACGTTATGCCGCAGGTACTGTATTCAAGTTCATCGCAACGATTAGTGCGCATAAGAGAATTTTTCCTCACGAAAACTGTTTTGCCCTCGGTAGCGCTCTCCACCAGCGCATCCGGGGGCTTTGTAGGTGAATACGGTCTAAAATAGATGAGCGCATCTACCAAACGTAGGGGCACACTTAGCTGCTCGGTGGGTTCGAGTAACGACAACGCAACGCTCTCCTCATGCTTGCCCTCCATTTTGAGTAGTACACGCTCATTCAGCCGATTGACGACCGTCAATGCCGAGCGTATTGTTATTAGTTTCTGTGCTGAACCGAACATCGATATGTCGAATACTATGCGTGTGCGCTTCTTATATTGCATATCCAGCGTGGAGTAACGAAAAAATATGCCCACTTTATCAATGGATATGGGCCCAATCAAGGTCCAGCCTTGAATTTGTACCAATATCTGATGTGTATTCAATTTGTGCGAGTTCATGTGCCTCAGCTTGGTTTGTGGGCCAAAGTCGAATGGTAGAATTTCGTTGGGCTGCACGGCCAACCAATTGCACATGATGTCCGTCTGATTGACCTCGGTACGTGTAATGCCGCCGGGCGAGGAGTAGAGTGTCTTAAAGAGCAACGGCTCGCCGGTGAGATTCTTAAGCGCGAATGGAACAAACGGCGAACGGCGCCGAAAACCTGTTAGCGAATCAGCGCTACTGCCACTACTGCTGCTATTTCCTTGCGCATAATAATCTTTAATCCAATTGTTGCGCACAATATCGCAGAGTTCTATGAGCGTCGATGTGACATTCAATTTGAGCAGCTGCTTGCTACTTACTTGCATCACCAACATTTTCGGCACCATCAAGGTTGTGCGCGAATATTGCCAATGGGCTGAGCACTCCCACGGTTCAACTACCGGCTCCCAGCCGCTCAGCCGTCGATTATAGTAGTCACTAGCGAATATCGTTTCCAGACGGCCCTCCTGGTACAACGGTGTGCTGCGTCCTCCTTCCACTGGCGTCTTGCCACTGCCCAGGCGCTGCGCCAACGTCAGCTGTGATAGTGCAACCTCCAGCAGCGGCACATCCGCATCCATGCAGTCATCAATAACACAAATAGAAATGCAGTTGGCGCTTATGAGCAGATCGTGCACTTCCAGGCAGCCTTTGTCGGTGCTTTTCAAGTGCTTTTGCTGTGACAGCCAGAGCGCGGCTTCGTTCAAATTATAATTGTTGACTTCCATGGCCTCCCAGCAATCCTTTTGCTTGAAACCCAAAGCAATTAGCGGTGCGATCATTTCAAAGTTTGCGTAATTGCTGCGGCTCAGTTGCTTTTGTGATGTCTTCGTTTGATTGGGTATTGATTGAAGCATTTTCGAAAATAATTTTACATCGTTGTAGGAGAGGCGTATGGAGAGTTGTTTGTGTATGAATACGTGGAAGCAGTTGCTTTTCAATTCCATATTCAATGAGAATGGATCGATAATGGAGAGCGCGCTTGCCTCTTCGGCGCCCAGTATGCAGGAGAATACCTCTAAATGATTGACGTCAATCGAAATGGGGCAGACGGTGTTGTTGGGCCTGTATTGCAACACCGTGGTGTTTTTCAAAATGATTGCATTCGTATCGGTCAGTTCCACATTCTCAACAAAAATCAATTCGGAGTCAGTGATATTCAAAATGATTTCAGAATCTGTTTTTACATCAGCTTCGTGCGTGGTTGAAGTTTGTTTCATCAATTTATTGCGCCACGATGGTGTCACTGACGTTGATATTGTGGGTTCCTCTTCGAGAAACTTTTTTATGCTCTCCAGACAGTCCAATATGGCCATGATGCGCATATTATTTAATAAAATTTTATACTTTGATGAGTTGCCACGTTTGCGGCTATGAATTTCCGCTTGTACGACGGTTTTCGAGAGATTATCACGCTTGGGTTTCAAAATATGACGGAATACATTTCGCGATACATGTTCGGGGCGTGAGTCGAGCACTAGCACCTCGCTGGACACTAAATCAATATCTTGCGAACCATCGCTGAATGAGTCAATTTGCAAGAACGATTTTATGAAATTTACACAGGCTAATGGTTTGGTTTCATTATCGTAGCTCTGTTGCTCTACCAGGGAAACAGAAACATTTTCCAACTGTAAATTGATGGACATTGTATTCCATACATGCACATCTAATGTCTCTGCTGAGTTGCAAGACTCGCTAGCAGAATTCAATTTATCGGCAGATTCATAGAAATTCTTCGAATAATTAAAGTACACATCATCAATCATTTCACCCAAATTGTAGCTGAGAAAGCCACGTAACAATTTGTGCTGTTGCAAATTCACAATGCCATTTAATTTTGAGAGTACACCCTTCACCGTTATATCCGAACAATTGTGACTCACAGCCGCATCTATGTTACGTTCTACTTGCAATTTGAGGTGACACGTCTCCTTGAAGAGATTATTGCCCAATTTGAGTATGGTGAAGTTGCCAATATTCACACATTCACATGGATTGTAGTTGAGCGTTTTATTTGTTTTCCAAATTCGTTCGCCGGAGAATAAATTCATATTGACCAAATCGATATGCATAACGTCGAGTATCTCATCCATGCCTCGTTCATCTTGCCGTTTGCTTACAACGCTCGAATCACTTGCAAAGTGAAATGCGTTTTTCAATGTAAACTCGCCAAGATCGGCAACTATAACCTGTGTACTATTATAGCTGAGTGGCAGCAGTACTATGGGCGAGGCGGCATGAATGCGAAGGCCAATCTTGATTGGCTTGGAGTTTATATCGGCTTGGCTTTCGGTCATTTTAATGCGCCTAATGACGGGCTGTAAGGCAGGAGGAAAATAGAAAATATTACATGCAGTTGGTCTCTATAGGTTAAAATTGTAATTGGTCTATTTAGCGTTAATGAATAATAAAGAAAAGCTACAACATTCAGAAAACCAATCAAAAAAGATCAGAAATAAACTCCATTGAATTTTCTTGTGAGTACACTTAATCAATTGACTTAAGATGGCAGATAAAAAAATATCCTTAATTACTAAGCATGTAGTTATTAGAGCTGGGACTATCCGTATATTTGGATATTCGTGTATACGGATAAAATCCGGATATCCAGTTAGTATCCGTTCATTATGTTATCCGTATATTCGGATGTACGGTTAATAACCGTAATTCGTAAAATAAGTTCTTTCCGAAACTACTAACTATAGAGTTGCAAAGTTATTAACACAGAAACAAATACTATTTTATTGTTATTTTTTAGATTCGAATATCCGGATATATATACTCTTCTTAACCTGGATTAAACCAAATGGTAGCAATGAGACGATTAATCGACTTCCGAGTTAGTCGATTCAAAATCGACATCGACGGTTTGCTTCAATCGTCGAATACTTAAAAATACAAAAACATAATACAAATTTTTTCCTATACTAATAATGTGACCAACTATTTCATAGCTCAAAGAAGTATAGGTTAGGTTGGGTTAAGTTAACGCCGGGAGTCGATTACGAAATTCGAATTTAGAATGCGGCTAATTTCGAGCTCACTGTTTGTTCAGAAGTACGAGCCAAAATGCTACCATCTTAGCCTCGCGAAAGTTGGACAGTCTAAAAAAGTGTGGAGATGATTCCACTTCATATTCCTGTTGACAGCTGATACAAAAAGATCAGTCGAAATTCCTAGTCCCCTGCATGAACACCAATCGTAAAATGGCCTATCAGAACCCCCATCACTAACCCTTGAAAGATAACGTGTTTTAAAGCCAACCGACACTTTTCCTACCGTTTCCTAAATGCTAGGCTTCAACGACAGCCGCCTAGTTCAGGTAACATTGAGCCAGATTAAAAAGGGTGTATAGAAACCGTCCCATAACCAAAAGTTCCACATCATCGAGATAGGCGATCACTTGGCAGCCCACTTTTTCCAGTTCCTCTAGAAGGTTGTTTACAACCGCAATCAAGAGCAAGGGAGAGAAAAAACCATTTTGTGGAGTGCTCATATTGACTCTGTCCTGAGTGCAGATACCCTCCCACTCCGCCGAGACGGTTCTGTCACGAAATAAGCTTATTAGGTTGGTTTCTACTTCAAGACTATAAATATACTTGACTATTGCCTCTCGAGTAACATTGTTAAAGGCCTCCTCGATATCGAAGAAGGCTCCTACTGCATAATCTTCATGCGTGAAGGCTTCCTCTGACCACTTTACGAATGTGTACAGGGCGGTATTCACCGACCTTTTCTTGCAATAAGCATATTGAGCTCTTGAAATACAGTCACGAGGAATGGCGTTTCTTATGTACAGGTCTATCAGCCTTTCTAGCGTTTTTAGTAAAAGCGTTTTTATCAAAAACGAAGAGGCTAATAGGCCTAAAATCCCTAGGGGAAACATGAGAACCTTTTCCGGCCTTCGGGATGAACGCAACACTGACTACCCCCAAGCCATGGGGATGTACCCGGTCCTTACGCAGTTCGCATAAATAGGATCCAACCAATTATAGCAATAGTACGGGCCGTGATTCTAACTGATTTTTTCCTAAGCGAATTAGTTGATATCGCTGAATTTCCCTTCGGGTATTTATCATTATAAAGAAAGGCAACATGTATCAAGAACGTTGCATATTTTTAGGCCTACAACAATTCCGACAATCGCTACACTAAATTTTCGTCGCCGAAATTCTCTAAATGAAAATCAGTGGGACCTAAAAGAATACAACATGGAAAAGTACAGATGCAGCGCATAATCTGCCAAATGTTGGAATCCGAATGCTGCAGCTCCACACCAGATCTCTCAGGCATTGCGGCTAGGCCTGCTAACTTGGCTCAAGCTGTGGCATTTTTGGCCCTGTTTTTCTTCTAACGGCACCAAATCTTTCAAATTGACACAAGAAGTTGGCACTTTTGAAAAATATTTATATTTTATTAAATTACGTTGAAATCCTTCACGTGTTCTACTTTTTCATCAACTAAAATTTTCTAGTTTCTAAAGTTTATACAACTGATTTAGTTAATTTTAGTATTGCCATTTTTGTTTTAGATGTGTGGTTCTTATTCTATTGCTAAATGGAAAGGAAATACACAATCTTTTTCGATAAAAAACAATAGCACCTTATTTGACACTTTTATTTTTTATGAAAACTCATAGCGAATGATAGTTGGCAGCCCTGGTTGCGACTTTTCACGTTTTCAGCGTGTATCAGCGCTTTAATTTATAGATCATTGCAAAGTAGTTATTTTTTCATTTTTATTTTTTTGATCAAGAATAATCGTTAACTTTGGATTTCTATTTTATCGGACAAATGTAATCGTTATTTTGTGCTTTTTTTATTTTTTCGATCAAAACTAATCGTCATTTTGGATTTTTTTCCGATTTAAATCTTTTATGATAGTAAAAAATATAATCTGAAAATAACGGTTACAATATGATTAAAAACCGTTAAAAAATTGATAAAAAAAAAAAATAGAAATAAAAAAATATCGATTACACAGCCCCACATAAACAATGCCTGTGTACGGCTGTCCTCTGTCCATACAAAAAAGTGATGTCTTTTGACAGGAGGACCTCACCCGCATGTATTTTCATGCGCTAAGCACGAATCGGAAGTCCGTTTTACTTAAGTCAGGATTTTTGTCTAACCTCAAAAAAGTGTTGACAGGAGGACCTCACCCGCATGTATTTTCATGCGCTAAGCACGAATCGGAAGTCCGTTTTACTTAAGTCAGGATTTTTGTCTAACCTCAAAAAAGTGCTTGTTACATAATATCCGCCATGTTTTTTTTTTGGCTTAGGAAAAAAGCCTGACTTGATGAAGTAAAAAGGACTTCCGATTCGTGTTCAGCGCATCAAAATACATAAGGAAAGGGTATTCCTTTCAAAAGTATATGACGCCTTTTTTACAGAAAAAATAATAAAATAACGATTACATTTGACCGGACAAATTTAAATCCAATTGTATAGGTTGAATTATGATTTTCATTATTATTAAGATCACAACCGTTATGGTCCCACCCTGAAGCACCGGGTGTGGAGTCCTACTCTTAAGCTGCATTTAAAAAATATCAAAGCTCTTGCACGCTGCACGAATTGTACTGTTTGCAAAGCTGTACCATAGGAAAACCTGTTTTTACCGTGCAATCCGTGCACCGTGCCAGGTCTTGTAAGACTCCGAGAATACCTCTATGGGGATGGTGAGCCGAATTTGCCAACTAGAGCCTTACTATATTTTGATAATAAACAATTTAAAACGCTTACCGACTGCAACTCCAACAAATCTTTCAAAAATAAATGAATCTCCATAATAAATCTTTTGGTGTGTATATATCGCACAGATGACATTTGTATGCGCAATTTTGCATCCATATCCAGGGAACGTTCATTGGATTTTGTTTCCGGATTAAGTCTGAAAATAAATTTAGGTTAAGAATTAGTTTAGATTACTTTTGAAAGGATTGGAGAATAAGTAAAAAATTATATATTTCGTAAATATTGTTTCGTCCTTGATGAGAGATTGAGCAGCAAGTTTTGGCTCTTTTACTTCATAAAAAAATATTGAATAGAAGCGGCGATAAGGTTGACAACAAGTAAGGTATCGATAAGAATATACACAGATCACGCCCGATAACGATTTCGGTACCAAATCAAATTATAACTAGTGAACCCGCTTGGCGTTAAAACGCCCAAAATTTAATTTCAAAAACTTTAATAATATTTCACATGTTAGTAAGAGTTGCAGCCGTTCATCAAATTTCGAATCACCCTATACAGTTGAAAAAAGTACTTAATCAAAAAAAAAATATATATAAAACTTTATCACACATCTACAGGCTGAGGTCTTTAATTTGAGATCTAATTTTTGGAATTCCTTTTCAAAAGTATTCTCAAACTAAAATCTTCTTAAATCTTTTTCCTCTGATATTGTGATACACATGTATTTCAATAAACTGGTGAACTAATTTGAATTTGAATGTTCGAACAAATGGCAACCCTCATAAATAATGGTTAGAAATAAAGCGTTTTTAAACCCATTTCGACTTATTCCCATCTTTTGATAATTCATCCAACTTATTGAATAATTTGAATGTAACTTTTTAAACACTTAGCAACCCTCTTCAAGCATTCCAAAAGTTAAAACTAAAGATTTCTGAACATACTTTTGTTTGACTATTTTATTTTTTTTCATATAATTTTTTTATCAGTTAATTGACTTAGTGATTAGTTTAAAAAACGGGTGGCAGCCCCCTTCAAGCTTAATCCTTGTTAGCTCACCTTCGACATTGCGATACGTATTTTAATTAACTTATTAACTAGTGGAATTTGATTTTTCAAACATGTGGCAACTTGTTAAATAATTTGAATTTAACTTTTTAACATGTGGTAATCTTCTTCCAACACCTCAAAAATATTCATAGCGGTCAAACTAACGATTTCTTGTAACTCCTTCGTTTGACATTCATATTTCAATATTTCATAAAACTTGTCTATAAGTAAACTAAATTCGACAATTCAAGCATGTGGCTGTGACTCTTTGAAATATTTTCAAACTACTACTTTTTGAAACCCCTTTTGTTTGGCACCCATATGGTGATACATATTTCCCTTACCTAATTCACTTAATTCGAATTGAATTTGATTTTTTAAATAGGTGGCAACCCCCCTATAGTTCAGCTAAGAAACAAAGCTTTTTAAAGCCATTTCGATTGATAACAATTTTTTAATAATTGATTTAATTGTTAAATAATTTGAACTTAATTTTTTAAAAGGTGGCAATTCTTTTCGAAAAAGTTAAAGCTTATAGCATATCTACAGCCCAAGCTCTTTAATTTGACACCCCACTTTTGAAAATCGAATGAACGGTACGGATTTGATGGTATTGATTATTGAAAATTTTGATTCTAATTGGTCAACAGGTGGCAACTCTTTTCGAAAAAATAAAACAAGTTTGCACATCAACAGACCAAGCGCTTTAATTTGACATCCAACTTTTAAAAATCGAACGAACGGTGCAGATCTTTTATGCGGAACAAAAAATGCCTTCGCGTTATATATAGATGCCGATAAAGATAACTTTTAAAATAATGATATCGAGACCGATACCTTAGAAAAAAAAAAAGTAAGTGCGCCTGGGCCACACTGGAGAAGTGAAACTTACGTTACATACATATCTACTTTGTCTCATAACCAACATAATGTAAAACAGGTGTATTGTACTAAAAGTGGTCCGAATGGAATCATAAGGTATAAGTTTTGATCTAAAACTGGTTACAATGTCATGCAGTAGCGGACAACGGGTACAATTAACGACTTGCTGATATGTAGACTAAGTGGTCAACAAATTTTCATGTGCACATTGGCATGCCGAGAGAGTATCCGCTTAGAACTGAGAACCCCGGTGCAAATCGCAGCTGGGGCAAGTTTTTTTTCTGTTTTTTTCCCCCAAAATTGGTTACAATGTAACGCAGAAGCGGACAATTGGTCCGAGCCTAGGACACTTAATGTTAAATGTAAATAGAATTTTACATATTGTTGGACCAAACTTTGGACTAGTTACAATCACTTGCAGTCTAGTTTGTGGGGTGCTCTAAGTCTATTCCGAGATCCTACAGGGTACATCTGCTGTTGCTTAGGGTTATATTTTTTGCCTTTTTCTATCTAGATCAGTGGTGCACAGCGTCGACTGAGCTACCACTACCAGCGCAACATTTTTGTCTTAGGGCCGGTTTCTCTATCTCCGGTTAACACTAATCCCCCGGTAAACATCGTTACCGACCTTATCGACTCCCTGTTATATGCATGGAGTTAGAACGTCGATAACAATGTTTAACCGTACGCAACATAATTCGCTGCTAGCGTCGCAACAGTTCGCTAGCTGCGCACACACGACTTGTATGTGACAGCCGAGTAGCTCCCGGAGACTCCCGTGTGCATCACTGATCTAGATACCTACCTCTGCCCCTGTTCGTTCTAATTACATTTATGTTATTCTGTTTTCCTTTATGTTAATTTTTATCTTTATACAAAATCGGTAACAAAATCGATAAATATATCTATAACAAAATCGATAGAAGTATCGATAAATATCGAGATAACAAAATTTGGTAAAATATAGACAACAAAATCGATAACTGAATCAATAAATATCGATACCAAAATCGATAAAAATATCGATAGCAAAATCGATAAAAATATCGATTAAAAAATATCGATAGCAAAATCGATAAAAAATATCGATAGCAAAATCGATAAAAAAATATCGCTAACAAAATAGTTAAAAATATCGATTACAAAATCGAAAACAAATCGATAAAAATAGCAATAACAAAATCGACAAAAATATCGATTATCATATCGATAAGTCCCGAAAATATCGATAGCAAAAATTGATAAAAATATCGATACAAAATTTCGATAACAAAACCGCTAGAAATATCGATTATTTTATCGATAAGTACCGAAAATCTCTAAAATCCCAAAATAGTTCCCAGATTGAGTCTCTGTGTCTCTCTCTATATCCTTTTCTCTTAAATTACATTTATTTTAATCTTTCTTCCCCTATCTTCATCTTTACTTTTATCGGTATCCTCATCCTCATCTTTGTTTTCACTTTTATGTTTATCATTTTCTTCATCTACATATTCCCCTTCACCTTTGCCCTTATTTATATAAGTGTTTAAATTTGCCTTGGTCTTCATTTTTGCCTTTATCTTTACGCATCTTTTAAAATATCAAATATAGAAAACTTGCGTTTTTAGTTTTTCACTCTGACGTCAGTAATTCAAAAATGATTTAAAAAATTCAGAGAAATGTGCTTAGAGAAGAAGTATGGGTATAAAATTAATGAGGAAATCCTGTAGAATTTAAACAGATTGAAGTTTTTGGTGCAGAAGGGCTGGTAAATATTGAAAATGTAATTTTAAAAAATTATATCCTTTAAATTTCGCAATATTTGGTTTTGAAAAAAATATTATTATATAAACTCGACAACATCCTTGAATTTCGTTCTTCTAACTATTTCAGCTTAAAAATTACTTATTCGTCCTTGTGAATCCAAAAAACTAAATTTTTTTTAATTCTGAAGAAATTTCTTATTGCACATATTTTTATTCTACATTGCATTGAATTTTTTTTTTTAAATTTTGGAATTAATCATATCTTTCAAATTACAAAGTCCTTCAAAATAACTCCCGCGGTCAGAGAGAGAAAATAAAAACGCCACTTTAAATAAAAAGGTAGGTTTCAAACCCATTTATTTATTATTTATTTCATGGTAGGAGAGCTTCTCAAACAATATAAAAGCAATTTTTTCGACTCCAGTTGTTGAAAAGTAATGAATATCTAAATCCCGGGATCCCGGGATTGTGACCCTATAATAACAATTGGGGTATTCCCAGCATTACATTTATTTGAATTTGCGTTGTTTCTCTCATGATAAAAAGATAGTAAGGTAGAACCGCTGAGAGTTACTTTTAAAATTNCTCCAGTTGTTGAAAAGTAATGAATATCTAAATCCCGGGATCCCGGGATTGTGACCCTATAATAACAATTGGGGTATTCCCAGCATTACATTTATTTGAATTTGCGTTGTTTCTCTCATGATAAAAAGATAGTAAGGTAGAACCGCTGAGAGTTACTTTTAAAATTCTTGACGTTTCCAAACATTTTAATTTTTAAATTTACTCACAAACTCACACACACATTTTCATTTTCAATCTCAAGCAACAACAATCTCGAACAATTTCAATTTTTTATTTTCAATTTTATATGATTTTAAAATGCTGGAAAACTTCAAAAAAAAATAAAAATCATGGCCGACAAATTGAGAGAATCCAAGTATAATGTAGTTCTCTAACTTCGTCGTCGACTCGAGAACGATTAGAGAATTATCCTATTTATCTAATGTAGAAATCCAAATTTCTTTAACGTTAGAGACTGTGTTTGCTCATGTCGTTATCGATTGCGATAACAAAACTAATAATGGTATCTATAGCAAATGTTAATGAATAAACTGCATTACTTTGTTTGATCTGTTCAACATATAGATGGCAAATTCTGCACACCGCAAATAACCGTTAAATATTAAGATTTTACAAGCTTTTTTTCAACTTGCTATGTACGTACGTATGTATGTATGCTTGTTTGGGTCAAATCTTGGAATAAATTTTTAACTAACTTCCCGATAAGCTAGAGACTTGAAACTTTAAACCTAGCTCCGAACTCGATGACAATACAAAATGGAAGATGACTAAACCGGCTATGTGGCACAGTAGTCGAGATATTTGCGAAACCCGTGTTTATGGTCCAATTTAGTTCATATTTAGAAAGTTTAATATGGAGTATTATGTGACTGGAAAATTTAAAACTTAAATAAAAAATAACGATCAAAAATTTATCGAAAAATTAAAAATTCCAAAAAAAAGGGACTTAATCGTAAAACTAAAAATCATAAAATATTGGTTACATTTTATCGGAACAATAGAAATCCAATTTTAACGGTTAAATTATGATTTTTAATATAAAGACCATAACCGTTACAGTCCCTAGTTTAATATCAAAGCGCCTTGAATGCTTAGCAGACCGATATCGTCGAAATCAATGAAAAAATTATGAACGTATGTACTTACTTTTTATATGAAAAACTCATTGCTTCCGGTCCAGCAGTGGAAAATTTTTCACGATACAAATCGCCAAAATGCGTCAGATCATACAACGAAATAGATTTGAGGCGTCCCTCCACTGATTTCAGATCTTTATTACTGGTGATTTTGAAATGCGCATGTGATATGTTAGCCTTGGAAAGCTCAACTTCATTTCGTACCAATATCAAATTTAATGAACGCACTGACACCTTCAATTCGCCCAGTGAAATTGGTTCGTCTGTGAAAGGAGAAGTGGAACAAACACAGGAACGTCGTAATAGAAAGTGTTAAGATGAGCGCAAGTGTAACTACTTTTTTTTTTTAAGGCTTTGTGGATCTAATGTGTGCAAGTGCAAAGTATAACTACTTATTGTAGTTAGATAACACGGTTTAACTCAATTGGGTCGTATTTTATCTCAAAAACGGGGCCGACCTCATCTTATAGATTTTTTGATGCTGATTTAAGTGCGTTTACAAAATTTTTTTAGCACGTCCAGTTTTTGAGAAAAAAAAACTGTTGAAGTGTCGAACAATGGCAAATTTCAAAACTTTGATCATAAAATTTCGACGAATGTAGTTTTTCCGACGAAAAAAAAACACGTAATAATAATTAGAAATGAGTGAAAAATTAAAAAAAAAAAAACTCAGTTCTTCAATAATACGCACTTGTTTTCTCACAGATACGAAAATCTCAATCTATGAATTTATTTTAAAAACAAAGTGATTTCATGAACAAATCTACATTAAAAAATCAATGAGACAGGTTCTACAATTCACTTCCGAGTGAATTTCAACCCCTTTCAATATGAATTCAAAGTGGCTTCGGTTGGAATTCACTCGGAAGTGAATTACAGAACCGGCCTGAATATCCCAGAGTCATCATTAGCCAGTCTTTTGTCTCTTAACACTTTCCGCGTTCTGGATTGAAATCCTCAAACATTTTTTTTTGTGGATCGCATTATCATCGCTTTTCAAGGTCCAGCAATAGTCAGCAAGCATGTCGTATACGATCTTTAAAAGTGCCACAACTCAAAATTTGCCATTTTTGAAATAATGCGCTTATTTAAAGAATATTTATTTTAAATCAGTTTTTATTAACAAAAATTATTTAATTTTTATGTTGCTAGCAAGACGAGAAAGGTTTGAATAGTAATGAAAATGAAATGATTGACGAACCACAAAAATCACTTAAATCTAAAATTTCCAAAATTACGAAGATGAAATGAACACAGTCCAATAAAAGGTAATAACACAGGGCGTTCATTTACCTTTCAGTAAAGGCTGGATCAAAATTTAGTTAAAATTTGTTGAAAAAATTTAAGGTAAAGTCTCGCTTGGCCATATGATTAGCAAGCGCTACGAAATATTTTTTTTCGCATTTTCTAACGAACGTGTAATTTTGAGTTGTGTCACTTTTGCAGATCGTGTGCGATATGGAGGTTTGATTTCCTATCATAACACTTCCCCATAGGAGCTATGTCCGGTGGTCGTTTTTTCTTCGGAAAAACTACGTCCAAATTCAATTTTTAAATTTGCCATTTCTCCACACTCCAACAGTTTTTTCTCAAAAAATGGGCGCGCTAGAAAAATTTTGTAAATGCATTTCAAATCAGCATTAAAAAGTCTGTAAGATGAGATCGGCCTCGTTTTTGAGATAAAATACGACCAAATTTTATTGAACCGCGTAATTTATCAATGCCCAATGAATTGGAAATATACATAACGCGAAAACTTAAAACTTATTTTTCGTGAGAGGCGTTTAAAGTTTTCAATTTGCTCCCAAATGTAGGGAGATATATATTAAACATAATGTGAAGCAGCAACCTTTAAAATGTAGTTCTGCATCATCTGCTCAAAAATTTCGTGTTTGGAGTTATGACAGTATTTTAGTAATATATAAATATATATAAATATAGCACCTTACACTTACCCTCACTGTGTTCACTTCTCGTAGGTACCGTACTCTTTACTTCGTATGACGATACCATGCCAAAGAAATCGAAAATCGTAAACCATCTGCATACCGAAACCGTTAAATTAAGGCAATTGAAATCGATAGAACTCTTAGTTTCGCTAACAGGTTTACCATTCGCTTCCGTCACTATTTGTGTCCGTGACTTGTAGATTACTAACTTATCATCGGCGGCAGCTCTCGTTGTATTGCCACTGCTTAGAGCCTTCTTCACCGGCGTCTGTGCAGCGGACAAGAAGGATGGATGGTTCAGTTTACATGGCATGGAATGGGATAATTCATTTTGTTGTAAATGTATGTTTGTGAGATTTGGACACGATAAACATTTTTCAGTCTTGTAAATTATCTCCTTTTCAGTGGATGTTGAATCAACCATATTACGAAAACGTGAATCCATAGCACACTTCAAATCCTCCATAACGATAGAACGCAACAATACTTCTAAATTAGTAATATCATTCAGCTGATTGTATTGCAAACTAAAATCACGAAATGTAACATCGATCAATGAGTTATTGAGTTTATTTTTCAAGTGTATTTGAAATATCGGTACGGAAAATGTTAAATTTGTTTCAAAAGTTTCTTCGAAACCCACGAATTCGTTGATTTTGTCTTTAGGTGCACTATCTGGCTGATCGACAGATATTGCGGCGTTTGAATCGGGATAACCATTGCTGCGCCATTTGGAATAGGAGTTCAAGGTGTCGAGTACTTGTTCGTATTGACTACGCGACAATGAAACTTGCAAGCACTGTGTAATGCTGCCTTCCACCTATGGGTATGTGTAAAGGGGAGAAAGTATATTAATTATTTTTCTTAAAGTGAATCTTCTTTTGCGGGATTAAATCAGAAGCAATGCACAAATGACTGCCATATGAAAAGAACGAGCAATGAATCGAGCAAAGTTCCACATTCGTAGTGTAGCCGGCCACACTCATTATTCTTTGGATTTTTTCCAACTTTTCATCTACTTACATTTAATTTATTACGCAGCGTCCAGTAAATTTCCTTTTTGGTTTTTGTAATATACTTAGTCAACTTGAATAGCATTGCTGTATCGTGTAATATAGGCACAGCATCAGTATTACAAGCATACAATTCGTTTACCTTCGGCAATGCTGCCGAAAAGCCCAACTCTTTTCGCTTCGATGTATTCAATGAGAACAAATTTATGTTACGTATATCAATGAAGTAATTATCTTTGGCCCACATATTAAGATTCTCCGTCGACTTCGAAATTGATATCTCATTCTCTTCATGAGTATTGTAAGCGGTAATTTTGCCTAAATTAGCAACGAGTACATCTAAGCTATCTCCAGAACGTGGCAATACCAAAACGGGTGTGTTCAATACAATATCAATGCTGCAATGCGAAGAAATGCGCATCTTAATGGAAATTCTAAAATGTCGTAGCTAAAAAGGAAGGTAGTAGTCGCAAACATAACTTACGATATTCGACCGGCAGTGCGCAAGTTTTCAGTCTCTGTTTCAGTAGTTTTTTGTATGTGTTGCACAAGTTCCTTCGCCATGTCGCTTGCTTTGTTTCGTATAGAAGTGGCAAAATTTCTAAAAACCAAAAAAAAAATAAAAAAATTAGGTAGTCCCTTATAATATATATTATATGGTTTTAAAATTACAAAACGAAGCGACATACTTTAGGTAATGCTTAAATTGCGATATGCACATATTTATCTCCTGTATGAAACGTGGACAGTGCACATACCACACCGAAGCCATGCGTATTTTCAAATTCGGCGTTGAATCTTTTTGACAGTAAATTTGGAAAGACAAAGCATTCAATTGTGCATCACCATAGTTGTCATTGTACAGCTCATTGGTGAGCGTATTGAGTAGTTCATGTTTGTAAAACTCAGGCGTATCGTTGGTGAGTGGATCTTTGCCAACGGAGAAAATGCGCTGATGATTAATGCCCTCCGGCGTGATGTCGATAATTTGTACGCCACCCAATGAACCTATGACGCTTATATCTTCCCCGAATGTTGCGTGTATTTTAGCTTCGCTCATAGTTAGCGTACCAACTTTACGTCCCACAGAAAATTCTCCTTTATTTATGCTACGCAAAACTAAAATATTTAAACGATGAAAGTCAAAGCATATTTCTGTGCGTAAATTAGTTGAGGCGCTGGCACGCCTTTTGTTAGCGGTGTGCGTATTTGTGTCGGTAGCTGCAAGATTGTGTTGATTACGGCGAAATATCGCTTCGTGGGTATTGTGTAGGCGCTTTGCAAAGCCTAGTAGCTCTACAATCGTTTCTTGATTGGCTGCATAGAAGGAGAAAATTTTAGTTACAATAAAATCAAAGAGAATTGAAATATAGAAATTTAATTAACTCATTAACACTCAATATCGAAATATATGGAGGTGTATTATTTTGTGCTCTTTCAGTTTGGGTTATGATAAAAATATTTACGACGAATCGATTATTAGCTATTTTAAGGCAAATCTCCCCCTTTGCAGGGGAGTACTTACAAACTATTTACTTTTGATCTAGTGTTCATATTTGTACGGGGTAGAATGAACAGTAAGTTTTAATAGGAAGGGTTTTTTTTGTCAGTCATAACTCACCAATAATATCTAAATTGTTGAATGCGATATTTGCAATTTGTAGTGAATCATTTTGATCGTTAGAGTCAATTAAATTTAAGTCAATATTTATGAGTGCTTGCGTTTCATCATAATCCATATCAAAGTATTTTCGACCTGGAAATCAAATAAATAGAAAACGGTCAAATACTTAACTAAAAATTCAATATAGTCAAATGGACTTCACTCACCACTTTCCAGCGCACTGAGTGCTCTGTTTATCGTAAGCGGACTTGTGCAACGTTCCGCGCCCAACATAGGATCCGGCGAAGATGGTGATGTAGGCGAGCAGGGCTTACTCTGCTTCAAACTACCCGAAATGCTATCCATGCTGTGAAAAGCGAATTATTTATTGTATTTCATAGAATTATCTCTCTGTTTTGTAACATTTATTTGCCATACTCACCCCACGTGCCGATGACTTGCCACCAGTAGCTCAAAATCTGGGCCGAAAGACTGTATAGCATCAACCAATAGTAAACCATGTACAGACATACTAATGTGGGTATCCTCCGAACGCTTCGTAATACCTGCGCGCGCACCAACTACTTGCAACTCAGCTATGCTACGCTCCAAGGATTGCACTTCGAGTGTCATTTGTCCAATTACAAATTGTACTACCATCAGATTGGTATTGAGGAAATTAGGTGGCGCCTCTGGAACATGTCCATTTACAAACAAATTTTCTTCTTCTACACCTAAGCCACCGACCACTCCTATACCGACTGTTTCAACGTAGTTGTTTCCATTAACGTTTTCATTCATCGCAAAGCCAACTGTTATGATAGGATAAAGTATCTTAAAGAATTCATTTAATTTTTGTTCATTAAGATGTGCCACTATCTTGGGTAGCGTGCCATACAGCGTTAGTGAGGGATAATCAGGATCGATAGTGTAAATCACGCGACGCTCCAACTCCAAGCAAATGCTGAACCTTTCTAGCAAATGAAAATTTGATGTATGCTTTGTGCAAGCGTGATTTCGTTCACGATTTTTACAAACGATCACTTGCATATCAGTTAGGTTTATAGAGTATTTATCATAGATTTTCCTATGGAAGGCACTTTCTAGACCAGTATCCGCATTAACAATTGAGGTGGAATTTTGACACAGCGTAGGCGACTCAATCAAACTAATTTCCGATCCTGGTGGCGTCGAGCAAGGTGTCATGAAATCCTCATCTTCACTATCCAACTTTTCTAGTTTTGAAGTTATTTCACTTACAGCTGCACTATCGCGCCCAACTACAGTCTCTTTCTTGCGACATTCATTTTTGAGCATTTGAAAACGTCCAAAATCGACTACTACCACGCCAGTGTTTTTTTCCAAATGATTTTGAGCAAAAATTATACGTGGCGCAGAAATGTCGATTTCAAGTGACCAAGTCGAACGAAAATCCTAGGAAAGTATTAAAAAAATTTATATTTGTGTTTTTAAGCCACAACAAATATACTTAAGTGACAAAACAATTAGCGGGAGAAATAAGCTACTATGCCTTTATCTTTATATGCATACCTCTTTCGAGTCATAACACTCACCTCATTACCTACTAAATACTGCTGCCAGTTTTGTAGGAACTTCAGTCTATTGCGCTGACCCTTAGCCAACTTATGCTGCAAGTAAACTTCATTCACCGGCTTTACAAAGAATGACTTTAAGCAGTCAAATGCATTCTTATTGTATACAATATCTAAACTACGAGATTTGATAACCAACCGCATATCGGACTGTACATCCGGCGGCCCTTTTTCATAGCGTAGTTGAAACCAAGGCTCAGGTGCCGAGTCAACTTGTTGCTCCTTTGTAAAGAATCGTTTGAAATCTATAAGTTGGTAGCCTGTACTGGGCGGCGTTGGCTTGCTCGGCAGCTCATCGAATTGTGGTTTTACCAAAAATGGAAATTCGGTATTTTTAGTAAGCGTATCTTTAAGACAAACTGAGCCCAATGATATACCAATGGCATACGAGCTGAACTTCGGCTTCATTTCAAAAAATGATATAAGTTTTTGAAAATCCATTTCGAAATTAACTATTGTCTCTCTAGTAACCGCATCTACTGTGCTAACTATTAATTGTCCATCGACTAATATAAAGCTAAAGTAGCCAAAAATCGCATCCCTCCTTGAGAAGGGATCATTTTCCATTGTATCTTCCAGCGCGTTGAGTATATCATTTTCAATCTTCTTGTAGGCCTCATCCTGCGCTGGCACGACACTAGCTTCAGTATTGCCATACCAGCCCCACCAATTAGGAAACCAATGAAATAACATACTTTTTCCATGATCTATATTGCTCGCTTTTAAGTGCACATCATTTGTGAATATATTCGTTCGGCAAACAGTTCGTAACGTATGTAATTCATGTAGCTCTCGTGACTTTTCCATATGCGCCTTAAACTCTTTTTCCTCAACTGTGATATTTTCATTTGGATTGATTAATAGCCGCTTATAAATTCGCATATAACGGAGATTTTCTCTCAATTTCAGCCATTTACTTTCAGTACATTGGTGTTCGAAGCCATGGCATTTGGCAGCATATTTCCACCAGAGCACAGCATTTTCAAATACGGTACAACATGGACGCATTAGTTTGTACGTGCGCTTGCGATTAAGTTGTCGCAAGCCGTATACACAGTCCACAATTTGTTTATATTGAAGCTGTAAAGTAAACCAAATTATAATTACTTAAAAAATACCTGAACATGTTTAAAATATATATGTACATACATCACTAACAGCCACTTTCACCTCTTGCACCAAAAATTCGCAATTCAAACGTGGTTTCGATTTGGAGCGTAACGCTTGCTTGCAACACTCACGCTTGAAGTGTGCCCGCGCGCTTATTGGATGTAGTATATAATTATGCTTACTCGCGTCGCACACCTGATTCATGCGCTCCAACAGCTCCTTCGATAACAATTGTGAACACTTGTTATCCTTCGTCATGCGATCCCAATACAATGACAAATCTTTCAATTCAATTAATTTATATGAAACATTTTGATCATTAGGTGTGCTCGAACGCGCTTGCCAATTGGCGTCACAGCTTTGTGCGGTGAGTGAATTAATTTTAATGCCAGCGGCAAATTGCACTCCAGAAACAGTTAATGCATCTTCATATCGTATATGTACATCGTTGATTTTCAATTCAAGATTCTCTAAAATATTCGTGGCCAAGGTGGTCCCGTAATTCAGCCAACTTGTGTAGGATTTCGAGTAATAGCTATCGATTTGATAGCCATTCTCCACGCGCCACTTTGCTTCTTTGGCATCAAGTTCAGCAACTTTAAATTCATACTCGGCAAATTTCTCTTTATCATCATCCCAGTCATCGATGTCTTTTGGGCCGAATACGCCATAAACTCGTTCGATGATTATGCACCATGGCGCAGTGCGGAATTGACGCACTGGTATCTGTAATTTTATTTTGCCAATATTGCCCGAGTGGGCTTGCAGTGGAATACCGAATGAGCGTAGTGCATCTTTACGAATTGGTACATTTTCTAATTCGACTTCGCCTGGAAATGTAAATAAATAAAAGGTTAAATGACATGTACCTATAGAAGCCAATGAGTTTTCTTACTATTTCTTATCCTAATAAATGGGTATAAAACAGGATGACATAAATGCAACATAAACAATTCGATTTTGTTGTGAAAAGTATGGCAATCAGCACACACAAAATGATCTATTGATCATATGAAGAAACATGCAGGATGTATTGCATGCAACCCCTCAAAGAGGGTCAGATGACTAATTGTTTTTAATTGCTACAAAAAGGAAGGTACCGGCATGCAATGAATAAATTAAAAACGCAATTAATACCAAAGAACTGAAATGAATATTTATGTATATACATATGTAGATACAAGTGATGTTTTTCAATATGCACTAAATATAAATTTGGATCTTTTTTTTTAGTCTTGCAATCACAACTGCCCCACCTCCAACCATACCGTTTTTTGCACTTAATATGCACAATTTTGCGCGTTAAAATTTTATCAAGGAAAAACAACTGCACACCATCCAATTTTAACTGAGACAGAACTCACAAACCTTTTTATAAACTCACCTGAGAGCAGTGCCACCGACAATTGTTGTGGATTGAAATCTTCCAAATATTTGCCAAGATATGTATTTAATACCCAAGATATTAATTCGTTCAACATTGTTTGTCTTTTTTTGCACTATTATTAGAAATCCTAGTAAGCAAAAGCGAAACGCTTTGTTTACCAGAGATCACGATTTCATAATGAAAATGACAGCATTGACCAAGAATTAGGGATGGGCAAATCGTTGCCTTGAAAATCGTATAAAATATTAAAAACACGAAAACGACCGTCTTGTTTAACAAACCAATGGTGATTTTTGAGTCGATTTGTAGCACATTTATTGTGCAAGGAAATATTGGCTTTGATTATTGGAAAACATAAGTAATCACTGGTATAAAATAAATTTTGGTTCGCTTAATTGTGTAAACCATATTTTAAATTATTACGCGCTGTAATGTCTGCAGCAAGGCGTATTTAACAAGGTGGTGTTGGCTGTATATAAGTAAAAAATTACACTAACAAATTATACGCTGATGTCCATACTGTCATTGGTATCACTTACAACAAACACATCATTTTGACGTAATGGCCTCCACGTCGAAAAACCCAGCTGTCGCCCCAACACCACCTAGTTTAATACACCTTGGTGTGCAGCATTCATAAATTCCAAGGCGAATTTATACAAGGTGGTGTTAATGGCGAATTTAGATTTTCGCCGAGGTACATACGTCTTAATGTCAAATCGATGTGTTTGTTGTAAAATGAATTCGCCTTGTTTACAACAAACACATCATTTTGACATTCAGAACCACCACGGCGAAAATTTAATTCGCCATCAACACCACCTTGTATAAATTCGCCTTGATAAATTCTGATTAATCCCATTCATACCGTTCCAAAAAAGCGAAATACACCACACAAGCGGCTGCTCCAAGACGAATTTATACATACTTCAAACCAAGGCGAATTTATACATACTTCAAACCAAGGCGAATTTATACAAGGTGGTGTTACTGGCGAATTTAGATTTTCGCCGAGGTACTTATTAATGTCAAAATAGTGTCTTTGTTGTAATATGAATTCGCCCTGTTTACAACAAACACATCATTTTGACATTAACAAGTACCGCGGTGAAAATCTAAATTCGCCAGTAACACCACCTTGTATAAATTCACCTTGCCACCTTGTATAAATTCGCCTTGCTTCAAACCTACTTTTCCCATTTCGCCATACACCATGCAAACATGACTCGTCGAACCAAAGAATGCTAAAAATTATTCCTCCTTATCATAAGTTTCATTTTTCCCCAACCGGTTCACTTTTCACTCTTGGTTTCCATGGTTTTACAATGGACGGATGACAAATTCTCGGGTAAACTTTTTTTCAGGCAAAACACAGGATAAGGCAGATTATTTTCTTCCATTTTCCTTTCTTACGTCCTCACACGGTGAAAATTCCATTGCAAAAATGCATACACAACACAAATAGATTGAAGCAAAGAGATATTTCGCTTGGTTTGTAAACCCGCTTGTGTTGTGTAATTCGTTCTTTACAGCTATAAAATAAATATCGATTATTTAGTCGAATTATATTCATGCGCTGCTACACAAACATCTCGAATTGTTTTGCTTTCTGTTCTTCTATAAACAGATGTTTTCTGTTTTGTTTTGTTTATGGTTTCTTTTTTTTTTTTTTTTGTTAGAGATGCCACATGCATCAAAAAGAATAGCAAGATTTCTTTTAGAATCTTACAAACGCCAGGTTATACTTTCTGAATTGTTGGTCTTGTCGTATATTTTTGTGAGCGGTGGAACCAGGACTCGAACTCCAGGTAAACTGATCCCTCGAAGCACAAGTTGGTGGCTCACATAATTATTGAGTTAAATATTTACATAGTACAAATAAAAAACCAGCAAAAAAGTGAAAATTATCCAATTCATTTTATGAGGACCCATATTGAGAGGACCTCTTCTTATACCTATATACTATATACCTAGTCTACAATATAAACATAGAAAAATTATTTTTAATAATGACAATAAGAACCAAATTGTGCTATGAACTTTGTAGTTTTACAACTATGTCATTGAATTGGTAACATTTTTGTAAAATGCACACATGTACTATACATGTTAAAGCCTTTGTATATCTGTATGTGTTTGTGAATAGATATTATTTATAAAATGAATTACCAGAAATTCAGTCTCATAAGCTTTAATTTGTACCCTAATTGACAAAAATGTCAAGACATATAAATAAATTTAGTTTCAGTATCTTTCAATTAAAAGTAAAATACAACATCTTTCTTCTCAATTGTTATAAATACAATGTTTTCTTTTTTTTCCTTCCACATATTTTTAAAATATTATTATTATTATTATTATTATTATTTTTTTTTTTTTTTTTTTTTTTTTTTTTTCCCCACCTTTATTTTGTTTTTATTTTGTATTTCTTTTCCTTTTTTATTTTTTAATGTTTTGATTTTTTTTTTTTTTTTTTCCATTTAATTTTATTATAATATTTTATTTCCCCCTTTATTTTTATAACCTACAGGACTTTGTCCAACTTGACCTTGTGCAGAAATAGAATCAACTCTCTTAGAACACCAAAATTTGACGAGGCAAAAAGTTGTTTTAGATTATTAAATTTCTGAAAAATTTTGAAGGTAAGTCTGGCAGCTGAAAATTTAGGACAGTCAAAAATTAAGTGATCATTTGTTTCCTTGTTGTTTATGGTTTCGTTTCCCTGTCGCTATTTCCTTGTTGTTGCTTCAGTGTTGCATCTTTTTTAATTATGTCTTTATTATCACATGTTAGCAAATTTTAAAATTATATTGCTAGCAAGCGTCAGACTGCCTCAATGATTTTACATTGTAATGTTCTTATCATGGTCCACTACGGTTTGAGGTTTATAATACCAGCCCACGTAGTTATGGCTGTTGAGTTGGTTATCCTGATAACCCGTATTAGCTACAAACATGCGCTCAAAAATTGCTTTAATATTTTTCTTTATGCTTCGTCTTCATATTCTTTGTTTACTTTTGGTTCATTTCAAAGAAAATAACATGGCGCCGAAATTACAAACGCCAGCCGGAAAATTACTTTGTTCTTTGTAGTTGGATCATGATTAGGAATGTTCGATATCGTATCGATTATTCGGAATATCGATATTTTATGTTACGATAACTTATAATTATTGGCCCGTAGTCATAGTCAAAATAAAGTCGACTTTAAAGTTAGTTGCAGCTTTTTTGACAGATATCCCATTGAAAATTATGTCAAAAAGCTGCAATTAACTTTAAAGTCGCCTTTATTTTGACTATGACTACGGGCCATTGTTTATTTATTTATATTTAATTATTATTTATAAACTTTCAAAAGTATCCCTCTTCGGATGAACTTAGAAAACTGCTTTAGGTCGTGTCGACTTTCAATGTTATGTTACAAATTTATAAGGCTCTTCTTTATCCAAATGTTCAGGTAATAATAAAAAAGATTAAATTTAAATGTTACATTTAATAGTTTTATTTTCTTTAATTTCATCATAAATTATTTCAAATCAATTGAAATATACATACATACATTCATATGAACATACATGCATACATATGTATTATATATTCTTCCTTTTTTTGTGATTAAATATTCGTCCATTCTCAGAAAACTGCTCAATTCACACACGGCATGGATATTAAGTTGTTTGACCTTCAACGTAGCAGTTACAATTACCAATTTTCAATTACCCACTTTTTTTAAACAGTTGTAAATCGATACTATCGATAGTTTTCCAGTTCTAGTGTCGACTGCTTTCGGATTAAGGGTGGGTAACTCAGCAAATTTATTGCAGTTGACTCAATGCCTCCAACTCACTTTAAGAAGTCACTCATTCCACTAGCTCATTTGACTCTTTGCATGTTACACTCATTCGTATCGTAGACTCGTTTTGAGGCATAAATGCGGTATAGCGGCCGTTGAGATAAACCAAAACTTAAAAGTGGGCGTGGTCAGCTCCTTTCTACAGATTTGAAAGGTGTAAATTTTTTTTTTGTGAAAATTAATTGGGGCGGTGCTAGAGGGAGGGGAAAGGTGGAATTTTCAATATTTTCAAAATCTTATATTTCGAAAACTATTGTACCGAATTTCAAGATGTGGATATGGTTGGAAAGGCAATTGATTTGACATGCACATCTTTATATATCTTATATACATACATATTTCGAGAAAAAACTAAAAAAAAACGAAATTATAAGAATTTTTGAGATTTAACAAAACACCCGCAATACAAAATATATGTTGTTGTTGTTGTATTCTTGCCATTACCTTGTATAAATTCACTTCGTGCAAAAACAAAATGCAAGACTTTGTCATGCTAAACACTGTGGCGAAGTGAGCGAGTTATATGGACAAATATGAGCCACTATGATCATCATGTGAGCCCTAGGGCATCAACTGAGTTACTGAGTTACATTTTTTTTGGACAGGAGTCTGAGTTACCGATTCACTTATGATCAACTCAATAACTCAAGTCTGAGTTGAGTTATACCCACCTCTATTTTGGATTACGAATACTGCTTTTTCAGCCGAGTACCTTTCAAATGTTTTGAATTAATCAAATTAATTGAATAAACCAATATTAACATACTTCTTTCATCAGTAAACCGCAACAATATCGTTCAGTTGTAAATTTAACGAACTTTTTGATTCAAATTAATGTTGACAGAAATGCAACCGGGTGCCACAATCCTTGCTGGTAAAAATTGTCCCAGCATGAATTTGCAACTGCCCTCCAAATGAAATGTTAAAATTGTGCTCTATCTTTGCAAGTTTTACTGGGTTTTTGGTCAAACAAACACGATTTGGTAGCAATTGGTACCAAACTGTATAAAATTTTTGCATAGCGAACACTCTCATTGAATCATGATAACAAAATATAAAAGTTCATCGTTTTCCCGCGAAGACTATCAAGAAGGGTGAGCGAGATACATCTGTGTGTCGGAACCCATTTTGATTAAATTGCGGTTCTTTCAAACTTCACTAGAATTAATTTTTTGTTTGTTTTAGTTTTGCCGGTTTTGGTACATGTTTCAAAGAGGCTTTGTTTTCTGATTGTCCGTTTAATTTAAAATGCCGTGCGCTTCGGCATCGGAGGGGAGCGGTGACCCGGGTGGCTTTGAGGATCTTCACGGAGGATCTTTTGGATTCGAATACGTCCTTCGACGAGCTCATTGT